TGTCCGAGTCAGGAAGGTGAGTTACGAGGTACATAAATGAGTCCCTGGCTTTGAGGTAGAAGTGTTGTTAAGGCGTAACTCTCAAAAGGGAATAACAAAAAAGGATATTGTCCAGCCCGACGTTTACCCCAAGACGCCTATTGAGCTCTAGCATCCCCATAATTATCCTAAAGACATTAAGGCAATACTGCCCGGGAAAGAGGTGGAAATGAGAGAGGAACTGGAGAAGCAGAGGGGGCAAAGGGAACCTAATTCCGCCTTCTATAATGGCTTTAATATAAAAAGACATTGTATCCTCGGTACCGAGGGTACGAGGGTGCACAGCCGCATCATAATCCTCTACCTCTACGTTCGGTGGAACGCCGTACCTAACCCTAAATCTATTAATTTGTTCACTACCTTTTACTTTATACTTCCCTGGCCTCGAGGTACTAGCCTGAGGATTCTCGGGGGCAGAACGACGACGAGGCATGTTCAAGAAGCGATAAAAATAGAGGGGGTTTTTCCACGAAAATCCCCAAGAAGGCTTCCCGAGGGTCGATCGCTGGATGACAACCAGAAAACACCTCCGGTAATCGAAAAACCAAAAGAGACAGAAGGGCAAAGAAATGGAGGATACTGGAACTCACCAGAGCGTAAGAAGAGGTATTTTCTAGAAAACTTGAATCGATTCCTTCCCAGAATGTTCAGAAACAAAAGATGGGTTTGCTAGCTTTAAAGCTTCAGTGAAAAGGTTGGGCAGTTAAGAGACAGAAGAGAAGAGGTCTCCGGCGAAGATTCAGACAAGGGCTCTCTGGAAGAAAAGTTCAGAATGACGAAATGAGAAAAAGAGAAAGGAAGCCATTTATATAGTACCGGTCTCATCATTGGGCACGAAACACGAAAGGGCGCATTTAATGCGCACGACTCCCTAAGCAGGGGAAAGCAGCTAGAGGCAATGATGAAGTAGTTGAGGTTGTTGGAAAACCCTTCGTCTCCTTATGACGCGTGTCCTCGGCGTCAGGAGATCAAAGGCTGGGGGGCAGTTGATGGGACTTTTCTGAAAATACTCCAAGATGAAGACACGTGTCCTCGGCGTCAGTAAAAAATCCTGTTAACTGAGATCACGTACCATCGGCTTTACAACTCCCTCGCCCGAGGTACTTGACACGTGTCGAGTACGTTTTACGTACCGACACGTATCCCTCAGTCTGGTATGGTACCTCGGTGATCATGTACAGCTTCCCTCGGCTCAAGATGTACCTATCCTCGGTACCGAGATGTGCATGTCCTCGGTACCGAGATGTACCCCGTCCAGGATGCCTTTTTCTCTGTTCCAGTATAAGCTATTGATGTACAGGTCATTAGCCTAGGCTAGTCTAGGTTAGCTATCATGGTCTCGTCTTACACAATTGGTGTCAGAAGGAACAGGAAGACAGGGTCCACAGCCAATAAGGGATGGACGCGTGGCAAATTGTGTCACATCAGAGACAGAAAGACCGCATGCCCTTACTGACACGCGACTTGGGAAAGCAAACATTTAATTACACCATTCCCTTGATGAGACCGCATTCAATGCGGTAAGGCTCAGAATTGAAAGGCAATAAATGTCTCTAAGGCTGGGCATTTATTGCATCCTCCCCGAGTGGAGATCATTAGACAGTCGACAGTCCGATGACACAACATTGATTGCTCGGCACCCCGAGCAGTTAAAGAAAGGAAGACATTCCTCATCAGAATCAGTGTGCACACTGCCTGTACCTAATGATCATCTATTGACAACACTGACAGCAATCATGAGCTTTTGATGTATAAATACTCCTCATAAAAGGCAAAACGGTATGAAACGAGAAAACTCTTGACTACGAAATATACTCAGTGCTTTCTTCTTCCTCTCCCTTTCAAAAACTGACTTGATCGTCGGAGGGGATAAGCCGGAAAACACTCCGGCGCCCTTCTAACTTGTTCTTCTTTGTTCTAGGAACCTTTCTCCAGCCTTAATGGGTCGTTCCTTCAATCCACGAGGGACTCCCGTTACTGTTCCAGGTTACCACCGGACCTCACAGGCTGTCCCAAGCAGCGTGGTTGACTACTCAACTGACTCACTCGAGTTCACCAAGGGAGAGATCTGTTCTGATTTTTTATATTGTGTAAGATCCTGCATGCACAGCAATCTACCCCTGCCATCACCAATACCAGTCTACCACAACCTCTAAAAATAAGAAAAGGGGAGGGGAGGGGGAGTGAATTAACGGCAAAGAAGTTGTTTAAACCTTCCCATTTTAGCCTCGCATATTTATACTTATTTTTCACAAATCAATTAGGATGATGAAAGAATGAGAAACAAATCGTTCTAATTAAGTAAAACTCTCCTTTGCTTTTGCATGCATTTGTAGCTCCAATTCCAAAATTCATCACATAAAATTAAGGGTTAATCTCATTTTACATCCCGAAAGATAGTTCGAATCTCAATTTACACCCTCAAAGAGCAAAAATCTCAATTTGCATCCTCAAAGATAGAAATTTGTATCAATGTGCACCCCTAAAGATCAAAAATCTTAATTTACACCCCAAAGATAGAAATTTATATCAATGTGCACCCCCAAAGATCAAAAATCTCAATTTACACTCTCAAAGATAAAAATTTATATCAATGTGCACCCCAAAGATAAAAAATCTCAATTTGCACTCTCAAATATAGAAATTTGTATTATTATGCACCTAAAACTAAGTTGATAAATTATATCTAGATCCCCTCATGTTTGTCACTTAATCATTTGGACCTCTTTACATTTAGAATATTACTCCTACATCTCATGACATTTATGCACGTACAACATGTAACCCATTTTCATTGATATCTGTTAATATAACCGTTAAAAAATATAATTTTATCCTAATAAAAAATTATAATTTCATATTACCCTTATTTTATGGGTCCAATATACTCTAAAGTTCAAAATCAAGCTTACCATTTGAATGTCTAATAAAATGTAGATATTTATATAATGTTTTTCATATTTTCCTTTTTATAAATATCTATATTCTATTAGACATTCAAATGATAAGTTTGATTTTGAACTTTAGAGTATATCGAATTCACAAAATAAAGGGTAATATGAAATTATAATTTTTTATTAGGATAAAATCTTATTTTTTAACGATTATATTAATAGATATCAACGAAAAGTGGTTATGTTTATACATGTACAAACGTCATGAGATGTAGGGGTAATATTCTAAATGTGAAGAGGTTCAAATGATTAAGTGACAAACATGAGGGGATTTAGGTATAATTTATCAATTTAGTTTTAGGTGCACATTGATACAGATTTCTATCTTTGAGGGTGCAAATTGAGATTTTTGATCTTTGGGGGTGTACATTGATACAAATTTATATCTTTGAGGGTGCAAATTGAGATTTTTGATCTTTGGGAGTGTACATTAATACAAATTTCTATCTTTGAGGGTGCAAATTGAGATTTTTGATCTTTAGGGGTATAAATTAAGATTCGAACGATCTTTCGGGATACAAAATGAGATTAACCCTAAAATTAACATCCAACTCCACAAATTCATGCTCTTAAATTCAAATGCATTTTTTGAATATATTTTTTTAAGAGCATTTCTAACAACATTTTGTATTTTAGCTTTTCAAAAGTACAATTTTTCTACTTTAGTTGCTCATTTTTTTGAATACACACTCCAACATATTTTCTACATTTTAACTACTTTTCACATATTTTGTATTTTTGTTGGGGCTGTTGGAGAGAGAGAGAGAGAGAGAGAGAGAGAGAACGGAGGAAAAGATGGAGAGTAAAAGGGAGAGGTTGGAAAGGACCGGAGGAGAGAAAAAATATTATAAAATTTATACAAATTGCTATAGTGATATTCTTTTATTAAATTTTAACTATTTTAAAATTTTACATATTTTATTAGAGATGTTTTAAGATAACCGATCCAGTGCATGTCTTAATAACATTCCACTCAAGGGTGTGCTAGTCAATGGCATCCTGCACATGTAACTCTTTCTTCTGGGGTTCCATCTACCACACGTTGCCCCTTCTTAAATGCTGTGATGTTATACTCTTAGAAAAGAGCTACCTATTGGTGGAGGTCTCTGGTTGAAGCCTGGATGTCCCCAGCTGTACACACTTGTATATTATCAGCTTTCCATTCTCATCCTATTTGAGTAGCATGAGTAAGTAACCACAAAAGAGGAAAATATTGTACATGACCCTCGAAACTATGTCTTCAATTTTGACATACCCTTCTCCAATTATTCCAATTTAGTAGTTCAACTATATAAAATGCAAGAGTCCAAAACTAACGAAAACCACAAAGATAACAAGGGCGCGTGAAAAAAGAAGTTTCATGGGTGATTTTTCTTAAAACTATGAAATTGAACGAAAGAGATTACTAGTTTCTATATAATTTTAAAAATATATTGAGACGGTCGAAAGTAGAGGAAACTTCATAAGAGATAAAGTGCATTTTCCTATTTTAAGTGCATAATGTGCACACTTAAGAGGGCCTATGAATTTGGTCTGTAATTCAAAACTAAAAAACTATCCTATGACTCGTGCTAAAAATTGTTTTTTTTGTTTTAACGGTCAAGATTGTATAAGTCAATTTACGCATATTTCAACTAATATTTTTTTTAATTTATTTAAAAACAGGTTATCTACGCCAATATTAAGATATTCATAATAGATAAATCTCTCGTGATCTGACTCAATAAATTATTTAGATTCAAACTACTTACACTGTCTTAGATTTGTGGTGGAGTTGAGTGTAATAAAGAATGTTTTGAAGTCACGCACCGATCGGTTGGTGGGAGTTGAGAGATAGAGATAGTTTAAAAGCATAGTCAATTATTCACATGGGCAACTTGTCCACCCTTTTTATACAACTCAATGCTTGATCCAAGTTTCTCATCAAAACAAAGATTACAGCACGCAAAACACCCCCCACCCCCTCTCTCCTCATCCTCTCTCTCTCTCTCTCTCTCTCTCTCTCTCTCTCTCTCTCTCTCTCTCTCTCATGGATCTTGTTTCCTTCTTGTTTTATGTTCTTCCTCTTTTCTTTCTCTTTTTCATGATACTCGAGGTTGTCAAACAAAGAAAGCACCAATGCTGCTACATATTGGACTATCAGCTCTATAAACCAGGCGATGATAGAATGCTGAGCACTGAGTTTTCCGGCAAAGTCATCAGACGAAATAAGCAGTTGGGACTTAACGAGTACAAGTTCCTCTTGAAAGCCATTGTCAGCTCAGGTATTGGTGAACAAACTTATGCACCAAAAATGGTGTTCTGTGGCCGAGAAGCAAACCCTACTTACGACGATGCCATCACCGAGATGGATGAGTTCTTACATGACAGCATTGAGAAGCTTTTGTCGAGGACAGGCGTTTCTCCGTTGGAGATTGACGTCCTCGTCGTAAATATTTCAATGATAGCTCCGATCCCTTCTTTGTGCGCTAGGATTATCAATCACTACAAGATGAGGGATGATATTAAGGCCTATAGCCTCACCGGAATGGGCTGTAGTGCAAGTTTAATATCAATCAATATTGTTCAAAGCATCTTTAAGTGTCGAAAGAATGTGAATGCTCTTGTTATTACCTCAGAATGTTTGAGCCCAAATTGGTACACCGGCAACGATAAATCGATGATTCTTGCTAATTGTCTGTTTAGGACAGGTGGGTGTGCAATACTTTTGACAAACAAAGAGTCCTTAAAACACAAAGCCATGTTCAAATTGAAGTGTCTGGTTCGAACCCACCACGGTTCAAGAGATGAGTCCTACGATTGTTGCCTTCAGAAGGAGGATGACCAAGGGAAGGTAGGGTTTCACCTCGACAAAAACCTCCCAAAAGCTGCAACTCAAGCTTTGATCGATAATATCAAGAGAATAACACCAAAGATACTTCCAGTAAGAGAACTTCTTCGGTTCATAATCGTTTCTTCTCTGCAAAAAATGACTCAGAGACCAAGAAAGGAGAAACGAAAGCAGCCAATGATTAACTTCAAAACAGGTGTTGATCATTTCTGCATTCACACTGGTGGAAAAGCAGTGATTGATGGGATAGGACAGAGCCTAAATCTCACCGAGTATGACCTAGAACCAGCGAGAATGACACTGCACCGATTTGGCAACACTTCTGCTAGTAGCCTATGGTATGTTTTGGGGTACATGGAGGCCAAGAAGAGGCTCAAGAAAGGTGATAGAATCTTCATGATCAGCTTTGGGGCTGGGTTCAAGTGTAACAGTTGTTTGTGGGAGGTGGTGAGAGACCTGGGTGATGGAAATGCTTGGAAGGACTGTATTGATAGCTACCCACCGGAAAACATGGCCAACCCTTTCTTGGAGGAGTATGGCTGGATCAGAAATGAAGAACTAACCACCTTCAAACTTCCAGAAAAGTATCAAACAGAGGGATGGTCATGATTTTTCTTTCCTTCTTTGAAGGTGCTTAGTTCTTCAGAAAAGGTTGTACTATTATTGTTCATTTGTCTCTTCATTTTCTTTGCTAGTTTTTTCCGTTAAAACAGTAAGTTATTATACTTAATCCTGTGGATTAATTATGTTGTTTATCATAATATTGAGGAAAAAAGAAACAGCTTGGACTCATTTAATTCTCATTGCTGTATATTTACTTTGTCTTTATATCTTTGTACGGATGTGCAGAGATTGCAATAAAATTCCAGTGAGAAAGGCTTTATTGTTCCTGCAGTCCCAACAGGAAATGTGGTTGTGTTTGTTTGTTTATGTGCTTCTCCTTTGGGCAATATGAAAAATTTCAATTGGAGGGTTATACGTTTACCCACTTTCACTATTTTTTTTATTTATTTTTTTTGTTCGTTGCTAAAAGATGTTTGGACTAATTTACATACATTTTGATAAATTTCCTCTCCAGCCGATTATCATGTCGAGATTCGGGCATATCTAAGAGATTTATTATTATGATTAGATCTTAAAGAGTTATCAAAATTTAAATTCAAAACATTCAACACTTTCATTATTTCTTAGGTTTGAGACAACTATGGATATTGTTAGAAAGCTCCTTGAAACTAAGGTTTTGTAGCTTTGACATTCAACATGGTTGTTGGTAAAAAAAAAAAAAATCATCTCAACCATGTGTCTTTCAAATTCATTGTCATAACATAAATTAACGAAATCACTTGCAAATCATGTACATGGGTTAAATCTTGATTTTGTGACCAATCCAACCCATGCAAGTTTTTGCATATTATCCGTTATTCAACCACTAGATTGTCCGGAGCAAGTTTCCACATTGCACGTAGTGATAGTGCAAAGTTTCTACTTGTTTACAAAATGGCTATTGTTGAGAAGATGGACTTCTACACAAACCCTAGGTTGGGGCTGAGACAGGCTCTGTAGGGTAGGACTGTTAAGGGTCAGGCCAATTCCAGAAGTAGAGGAATCAAGAATAATCTATATATGCTCTATCTTACATTCTGTGAAATTACATACATATCATATTAATTGAACAGCAAAAGTGAACATGGAAGAAGGAAATTCAAAGTCTACTGTCTTATGGGTCCGATGCATTTGCCTCACCTTGCTTTTAGTTAGAATTCTTTGATATCCAATTTGGCATTCATTGAACCAAAGACTATGACAGTGAAATTTTCATCTAGACGTGTTTTGGGATTTATTGTATATCCTACATTTTTGGATTAGTGAATCATTTATCTTCCGAAAAAAAAAGGACAGTGAACTTAATTTAATTTGAGTCATCTCTGTTCATGAACAGTTGTTTTATGGGTTAATCAAACAATGAGGGTGTGTTTGGTACAAGTGAAAGGAACTTCTCTTCCCTTTTCTTCCTTTCTCTTGTTTTTTTTCATCACCAAACTCTGGGTAACAAAAGAGCAAACAGTGCCCTTAGGCTTGTTAATAAACATGTGCTCTAAAAATTTAAATTGTGAGAGAGAGTATAATTTAAATATTTATATTTCAATATTCTCTTTCATATATAGGCTAAATTTTAAGTATAACACGTGAAAATCTTTTAATAATTAGAATGACGGTAAAATTCAAATATAAGAGTTTTTACTCTGTCGTCGTGGTACACAACTATTTACAGATGGAAGATGGAGGAGTATCTACAGGTGGGTCGAAGGCAGTGATGTCCATTGTCGGAGATGTGGGCGGCATTGATTTTTGGTAGAGTGACAGTGTAATCTGGTGAAGATGTGGAGGGGAGGTGAATCGTTAGGACTTAGGGCAATCAGGAGAAAAGAAGAAATAATCGATTACTCATCGGTGATGTGGCCGACAAGGATTTTCTGGTGGTGTGATCGGTTGGCCAGCTTTGCGCCGGCGAAGGGGAGAACGCTAGGGCTTCGGGCTGTCGTGGGGAAGAAGAAAAACGAATAACGTTGGGTTCACCTTTTAGGTCCCATTAAAGAGAGAAGCTGATAATGTGGAATGTCCGCATCATCTATCACGTCATCAAGTCAGTGTTTTATATCTAAACATAATAATGTTACTGCATATAAAAGCTTAAGTACGTGTTTTTGTGTTAATTTAGTCTTTAATCTTTGAATTATGTTATTTTAGCCTCTCAATTTCTCAATTTGTATCATTTTAGTCCAATAAAAAACGGTAGTTTGAATCAACTAACGGAGATGTTCACGTGACCAACTTAAGGGTCACTTTGGTCATTCAAATTTATAACTTGTATTATTTTGATCTTCCAAGTTTATAATTTGTCACTTTAGTCCCTAAAATTTTCAAATAATGCACTTCATGTGTGATCAAATGAGATGTATATGATAATTAAACCAAAGTGACACAAATTAAAAGGTTGAGAAACTAAATTGATACAATTACAAGATTAGAGATCAAACTAATACGAAGGACATAGTTTGGGGACCAAAAAAATGTATTTTACATTATATAAAAATATATTCCAATTTACGGACACATTGATGCTGTAATAAAATGGTCCAATGCCTATGCCATTATTTTAGTTGCAACCGATGGACTTCTTCATTGAGAGTAAATTATTTGACACACCATCAGGTTAGTTGTTAAATTTTTATATTTATATAGAATTACTCATTTCATAAATTATATAGGCTTGTCCGTATATGTATTCAGAAGTTAATACCATTAGACTGTAGTTTTTTTAAACCTCACATCATTTTCTTTAGGAACAACATTTATGTTTTGGCCATTGAACAACCAAGATTTCAATGGTGGATCTCTTCTCCAAAACTGGACAAATTAGAGTCCACTCCTTTTCACAAGTCAATTTCCTTACAACCATTCATTCACTTTCTTTTTGGGGTGGGTGGGGAGGGGGGGTTGTAGTTGTTCTATTATTGTATATCGTGCCCATGTGAACATTGTCGTCTGCCATAATTGCTGTTACTATGCTTGGTGGACTTCTTATTCTCGGTGACCAATTTTGGGGAAAAAATGATAATGTTAAATAAAGATGGGGGATCAAGTGTCCATGTTGAACATTATCGACTGCATATTTCGATGTCAACTGCCATCATTATATGTACAATATTTTTAAGAAAGTCCTATCAATTAAATCTTGATTTGTTGTTGACTATATTATTATTATTAGATTAGAAGTGACTTTAACACCACATAAATGGTAGTCATCCAATTAGACAGATGTATCATTGATAATCGAGGGTTGACATTCGAATTTAATTTAAGAATGTAATCAAGAGCAGTTGGTAAATTGAAAGTGAGATCCTTCTAAATTTGAAAACTACAAACTAATCTTGATAACTGTTCTTTCATTTTTCATGATCTCTCATTATCTTTTTGTGCATTTGCTTCTCTCTTTTTGTTTTTTGATTTAATGGTCAGAGTGTCTAAAATAGATTACGCACAACTTGACTAATCGTCTTTCCAGTCCTGTCAAAGACAAGTCATCCACGTTAAAACTAAAGTATTCATAAAGAATAAAAATCTCATGGTTTGACTCCAATTGATTGCCAAAATTTAAACTTAGAACGTTTAGATTTACAGTTTCTCTATATTACCACTTAGACTACACTTTAAAGTCTTCATTCGCTGATGACATTTCTTGTATTTCATGTAGAACATTTTTTTTTTTAATTTCTAAATAGTATCACGATATAATAGTATACGGCAACTTGGAGATCATAGACAAAGACATTTAATATCAAAGTGAGATCCCAAGCCAAAAATATATTTTATTGCCACCCTCGTGTTTTTTAAAGAGAAAATTAGGTTTGATTTCATGCCAAATAGTGGGTGCCATATCGGGTTAATTCTGTATTTGAGTTATGTCATACCACCCAAACTTAATAATTCCATATCGCTCATATCAAATGCATGGATCATATCTCAAATTACCAGGCCTAATAACAACTGCAGGCCAAAAGCCCCCTAGTTATTGTGATGAAGTGTTAGTCGTGATAGTTTGATTTTATGCCAAACAACTCATCCTAGCTGAAGGAACATGTACCTTTGAATCACATGATTTCACCAAGGAAATACTCGAAAACAACTATGTATAAAGCCAAACTTTTCTGATTTGTCTCTTTTTTTTTTTAAGGTTCAATGAATAGGAGTATTCAGGTTGATTAATCCTCTCTTCAATCAGTCGAATGCAGACCATCCACGTTAAGACTAGAGTATTCATGAGAGATAAATTCCTTATAATCTAATTCTAAAAGGTTGCGAAGATTCGAACTCAGGACGTCTGAATTTACAGTTCATCATTTTTACCACTTCAAGCATTCCTTAAAATTTTTTGATTTGTCAAAATCTAGGGTGGTAAATCATTATGATCAGGTGCAAAAGTCCAATGTCTTTTGTTTGGAAATCACATGTTGAACCACATATAAAGTGTGTTTTGTGACAGTTTTCCAACCAGCAGGTATAGAAAGTGATTGGAAGGTCATTTTGTCTGAGAAAAAAGAAACCCAAGAACCTGAAGCTTACTGTGCCATAATAGCACTTGTCACCAAAGTGCATGCATCGAAAGAGAAACGACCTCTTCAAACTTAAATATAATGATCATTAATTTTTTATAGCAAAGTTTCCGCCAACTGTAAACCTGCAATAGTGTTAATTGGCCGGTTTCAATTTCTTCTCGCACCTCTTAAAAGTTAGTCACTCTCGTCTTTTTTGGTGGTCAACCGGTGAACTCGAGAGAGTAGTTAGCGCAAGTCTCAACACTCTATAACAAAAAAAATATATATATATAATTGAGGAGGCCATTTAGCTCGGCTCCATATAATATAATGAAGCAAACCAAAAATATCTTGGTCTAGAATAAAAGAGAGCTCATTATAAAGGGCTTAAGCTCAACATACTAATCAAAGAATGGCATTAATTAGGTTCAGAATAATCAATTAATGCTATCTGCGTGACAATTTAACTACCCTTTTTAGTCGCTAACATGAATTTGAAACCCCTAATCACTTTCAAACTAACAAAGATGAACATCATTTTCAAATCAAAGTACAAATAAACCGATAACATTCCTTTTTTATGCAACAATACATACATTTGTTTTGTGAATTACTAATTCAAACTAACAAATATGAACATTAAGGGGTTCAATATGTCAACAGAGACTAGCATTGTGGTTCGACCTAACAGCAGAGATGAACATTAAAGGCTGAAATATGTCATCAGGCAATAAACTAATGCATAATCATTATTTTTTTTTGGTCAGATCATCCAGTATCCAGTAGCCATAACAGGTTCCGACTAATCCGGATTCGAGCCGGGTAAGACTACAAAGACAGCAAAACTCTTCTTACCAAATACAACTGCATTCCCAAGTCTCGAACCAAACATTATAAAAGCTCCCAACAGTTACAGCCCCTTCATTGAATCCATATACCGGCCCCTTTCTGGTATTCAATAAATGTGTTAAAAGTTGGGTGAGAGCACCCCTTCCCCCCCCCCCAACCCCCAAAAAAAAAAATTTTTTTTTTTTGAAAGGTCTCAATTTGATGGACTTTTGGGGCCATACCGGTATCCTTAATATATCTTCTATAAATCAAAAAGTCGGGTTTTTGTTTCACATTTCAAAAATCATGGATTTTGTGAATCTAAAAGAGGAGGAAGGACAAAATTTGTTAGATTTGTCTCAAATATAAATAATACAATTTTAACACAGTAAAACTATTTTTTTTTTAGTTTAATGGCCAGGAATATTTGGACTAACTTGCGCACATTTGGATTAATTCTCTTTTCGATCAAGTAAAAAATTAGTCATTTACGTCGGAACTAAGATATTTATGAAGAAAAATATCTATTTTTTAATTCTCATTGTAATATGATGGGCCCGGTCCAAACTAAGTTCAGTTTAAAGGCCTAGTTCAGAAATGCAGACCAAGTCGACTCAAATATACTAGTCAAACCCACCACAAGAAATAAGATTAACCTTGTCATCTTGAGAAACTCAGTCCACAACTGTCACACGAGGAGATCTCTGTGGGACGCAATCATTGGGTTCATGACGCCACCTCCACATAACTATTTCTCTTGTTACACGAATGGGGCCACTTTTACGGAACTGACATGAAAATGACGTATCAATTTGTTAAGAGACGCCTATAAATTATAAATCTCACTTACAAAAGGAGAGCAATACTCACACCTGAGCACTCTACACTCTTTGAGCAATAAAACACTCAATCCACTTTAACCTTTCATATTGGAGTAGATCACCCCGACTGAACCATTTTATTTGTATTTGTCTGTATTGAGTCTCCTTCTTAATTATTGCATTAAATATTTGTAAGGTGGTGCATAAATATATTTTGTGCATCATCGTAATATAGTATAAATTATTGTACCAGGTGTGGTAGATTTTATTTGATAAAAATCGGTCCTTATCCTACAGTTTTTGATATAAGGCAACAAATGAATGCCTATATTAATGATTTGTTTGTGGATGGAAAGTTGGATGGATAAAAAATTGGAGGAATGAATAAAATATTATATTTGGTAATGAAAAAAAATAGGAAGGATAGAAAAGTGGATATGGATGAGCTTTCTTTCTAACTTACCAAAATTAATCCCTCTAAAATTGAAAGAAAAAGTGAATGAACAATTAATTAAATCTGTTAAAATATATGTTATTTAATGTCTCCATATATTATATTTATCAATTATATATTATATATACATTAATTTCATATATAGATATAATAACAAAGATGTATTTATATTTTTTCTAAAAAAATAAAAAAAAATACTTCTTTCATCTTATCAAACACACAAAAAAAAAAAAATCAATTATTTTTTCTCTATCTCTCTTATTAAACACAAAAGAGGGAAAGAACGATTCTTCTCTTGAAGATTAAAAAGTATATAATCACTCAAATTTTTCAACCTTTTATTTTTCGATCCACCGTACCAAATGGACCATAACGAGTTGAGAGTATAAAATTTTGATCCGAGATAATCAATTAGAATGAGAATAATACCCCAGAACAGTTAAAAACTCTGACAATTTTATTTTCATGTTCAACGGTTCTAAAACATTGTATTGAAAGATAACCAGTCGATGTGTATGTCATCAATGCTACATTTACCAGTTTTTTTACCAACATTTTTATACCAAATCAATATTAGTGGTTGGATTGGTGAAGTCCATTGAGTTTCACTTATAACCTAATAGTTATAATTCGCTATATAATTTGGTATTTAATCTCTATCAAATGTTGAGGTTAGTAGTTAATTTAATGGTCACTGATTTCACTAATGAATTTTAAGGTCGTGAGTTCAAATCTCATCATCTTTTTTACCATATAATAGTGCCAAACCAAAAAAAAAAAAGATTTAATAAAAAATTGTGAAGCAAGGCATCATTTTCCTTACCGTTTGGATAAAGTTGAGCATTAATCCATTGAAACAAGTACAAAATAGAACCGGACAGTGGGTTTGCCCGCATTTGTTATTTCATGGGCCACGTTAGTACAACTTGACAAGTATAAAATAGCGGAAAATTGTGAGTATGTATCTTGTGGAAGACTTTTTTGTGAGAAAATACTTTTAAAAAAATGTGTTTTAGATAAATATTATTAGGTTGAAATGTATTGTAGAAAGATACAGAAAGGCAGGTTTTTTATTCTTCTCTATACTATAATACATTTTTTCTATTTTTATGGTGTTTGTATTTTGGCAATTGCTTTTTTATATGGGATTTGATTTTATTGATAGATAATTTCCTAGTCGAGAAGATTTCTTTTTTTTTTTTAACTTCTAGATCATCTAAAAAAGTAAAAATGACGTAAGATCTAAATAAAACCAACTTCTATTTTGAAGCTAGGGTCACCATCATCTGTAATGTAATATTATAGTGATACATGACAATGTAACACCTTCATCAACACTTTAATCACTGACAACAAATTGTTAAATTATATTCACTGATTCATACACAATCTAAATAGTATATACTGTATCACATAATATGACATCACAAATATGACATCCATATATATTACTTTTAATGAATGACGGTGTTACATCATAGTATAATAATACAAAGTTACACTAATTTCAACTAATTAATAGAGAGATTTTAGGCAAGAATGTGGGGAAGAAAAAAAATAAAAAAAAATAGAGGGGAATAGAATTTTAGATAAGGTCAATTATATACAAACATAAGTAAGATAACTTATAGCTCTGTGAAAGAAATTTTAAGAAATAGAAATTATACCTATGTGAGAAAGATTTTGGGAAAGAAAGGAGATGTCATTTAAAATTCAAATTCATTGTCCCATTAAAATAAGAAACTCTTAATTCATTTTTGAAGGATTGTGGTTTTGTATATACTCTCTCTGTTCCTAAATATCTAGAGTAATGATAGATGAACTTAAAAATTAGACTTAATAATTTCAACCATCGAATAGATTGTGGGTCCCAATAAATGTTGGGACCCACAGTAAAATCAATAGTTGAGATTATCAAGCCTACTTTTTAAGTTCATGTAGTATTGTTCAAATATCTATCGTTTAAGGTTTTTGTACAGGAATTAAAAAAGTTATTAAATAGCTCTAATATGAGTAAAAAATAATTACACATAACTAAAATACTCTTATTCAATACGTATTGGGAAATAAATGAACAAAAAAAATTGTGTAAAATGATAGATATTTAAGAACGGAGGAAGTAGTTAAAAACTGAAGGAATTTGAGAAAATTATGATTAAATTTGAAAAAACAAAGTTTTTGAGCCTCGATTAGTGGCCAGTTTTGCAGAGATCGTGAATCAATGGTTTCCAAAGACAGCCGTATCTATTCAGTTACCTCTGTTAGTATAAAAAAAAAAGACTTTTCCACAAAATATTTTAATCGAAAGATTTTTATACAAACAAGTCCTGTATAAAGTATCAACCTACAAAAAAAATCCATAAAATAGATCCCCTGGGTTTGCCCCCATTTGTTATATCATGGGGCATATTAGTACAAACATGACGCATCGCCCTGGGAATGGGATTTTAAGAATGTTCGGTTTAATGGGCCAATAGTGTTTTTAAGACCCGCCTTAAATGTCTGCTAAGAACATGGCTTGGGCCGACATAAACAGACCCACCTTCTTTGAAACCCACATTGAGAGCATTGGTCTGAAAATTTGTGTCGAACTTGTTTATCCACTGTGATTAGGGCAATTAATTGAGTCAAACTTTATGAGCTTGAACTCTAATTTGTCGAGGTCGTTTTATTAAACGAACTTAAAAAATTATTCAAACTCTGCTTGTTTAAAAAGTGAGTCAAGCCCGTG